TGGCTAACTAGGAAATGAGGTCCTATATTCAAAATTCCTGACTGTCCCTTTAAACAGCTATTTATTAACATAGAATTCTAACCCCTAACCCTGTTCCTCATCTCAAATGTTAAAGGTCCATTGTGTAACTTTTCTGTTGGAGGGTCCGTCAAATGCTTTTTTTCATGGACATGTTATTGCTTTGTCTGAAATGTTTCACAGTATGGCATTAAACCTTTCATGTAACCTTCATGTAAACCAAAACAGGCCAAGTTACAGGTCAGATCTGTGGAGAGGCAACCCCGCTTACACTCAGAATGCCATTTTTTCTGGGCATTTTTGAGCAATAAACCACCTGTAATTGAATAAATGTAATATAGTTGTGTTTAATGTCATATTGTGGAATATTCGAAGCAGAACAATGACATATCCATAGACACAAGAAGGTGACACACCCCCACCTGTAAAGTTACACAGTGCACCTTTAAACTTTATGATTCTAGAATATTGTAATGTCATATGAAGGCAAATGATAGAGGTAAATTACTCCAGTGTGTATCTGGCCCACACAATTTAAATGTCCGGGAGTGCTTCTCTCTGACATGATCACTGTGACCCACATCTCCGACTGCAGCTGCATTTCACTGGGGAGTTTTGACATTTCCCGTTGTGCTCTTTTTAGTTCATTTTCCTCCAAAGCCCGAGCCCTGACACATCTGCCTCCTTATTTTAGAGCTGAGCGTCTCTCCTCCGCTCCTCGCTGTTTCAAAGGCCCAGCTCCAGACAGCACGGCTCCACTGACGTACCCCTGAATATGCCACAGCGGTGACAATGAGCCCTCCGTGTGCAGTGGATTTACGAGGGGCAGGTCTTAATAAAAAGTGACCCTGAAAGCTTTTGGTGCTATTAGCCAACATGTCCGTGCAATTTATGGCTCTGACGATATCTACCCAAGCCTTCAATGCAGCTTTTCATTTTAATGTACATAACGTCAATTCACTCTGACCAATTGGCCTTTAAAAATGAGTGGGTCAGGAAAAGCTCCAATTAATTATTGTCACAAATGTCATGATTCAGTCAGGCTTTCAATCAATTTTTAAGCTAATCATAGCACAATGTTGACAACCACTATATATAGTTTGTATCAAGTAATAATCCAAGCAGCTGTGAATTTGTTATCAGAACTACAATGAATATATACAAAATTATGATGAGAAAAAAAAACAACAGTGTTCATCCTCTGAGCGAAAGGTTGGAAGTTCAAATCCCACTCCTGGCATAAATGTTGTTAGAGCGATATGATTCACTTGCTCACAGGTTTGCGGATCAATTCCAAATCCCACAAGTGAATACTCACTGTTGTATCCTTGGGCAAGGCACCTTAAACTCCTCACCCCTTGTGTCTGCATGCAGTGGTGTATGCATGGGTAAGTGGTTCCTTGATGTGCAGAAAGTGGAGAAATGCTAAGTAAAATATGTAATTAAAATAACTAAAATGCTATGTGTATCAGTCACGAGTGAAGTATGATTTTAGATGCTGTTTTCATACCTCATTTGTGTGCGTTGTTGTTGTCACATTTATACTGCAGCCCTCCTCCCTAATCCCCCTTTGATTAGCCGCTAACAACATTCATCACAGTGGAGGAAAACATTGTTTCATCCTTGTAACTTAAACGATGCAGCCGTATTCTCGGAGCGTCCTCATTGCCTACGCTGTTTGTTTCCTGTGGTCCCTCTTGTCCCTCACCAGCCACCATACCCCTCCTTCCCTCTCCCTAGTGGCCCCCCTACGGTAACACAGCCACCAGGGGGCATCCCCATATTGGGACTATCCCAGGAGAGGGGGTGGCTAATGAGCTACGTGTACTTTCCACTGTGAAGTTAGCTTTTTACCTTGAGATAAAACTTACAAAACACGCCTGAGGTCTACAGTGAATAAAGAGTCATCTTTACATGCTGCTGTAATTATAACATTTGTTAACATCATCAAGCAATCTCCCCGAGCTATGCAAATCAAACCTATGTTAATTATGCCAAGGCTGGATTCTAGCTATTTTGTAAAATGTAAATGAAGACCGGTTTGGAGTTGGAAAGAGTTGAACTTAATCAAATTAGCGGAAATGGGAGTGGAACTCAAAAACTGCAATGAAGCACGATTACTGTTACTTCAAAATATGACGCAGTGTAAAGTAAGAGGGCGTAGATACTAGTGCAGTCTGTGGGGCAGCAGCAGCAGCAGCTCAGGAGCTATAGGGCCTTCACCCACTCTAGGCTCTGCTACTGGCTTTGAATTCTGACTCTGTCCTTGGGAGAGACTTTACCCATTTGTGTTAAATAGGTTATAAGTTATTATGCTTGTGTGACTAGTGGTAGTTTGAGAAATGATATGTGCTCAGTTTTGGACTTATGTTACCATGAGTTTGCTCCTATACTTACCACCTCAGAGTGACCATAACAGTACAGTGGTAATGATCTCTCTACATCTACCTCTTTTCAAAATCAAAAAGAAGAGATGTTTTTTTTTTTTTTTTTTCCAAAATTGATTAGATCAGTGTAAAGTCAGAAATCTGTCAGGTACAATGAATTTATGATCACAGGAGTTCATTTGTGTCAGCTATCATTCAGAATTGAGTTTGATTAAGTGTAGGATCAGTGGCATTTAGTGCAGTGTAGTATCCTGCAGTTCTTATCAGCTCTATCCCACAGAACACCAGCCCTATATGTCACGCAATACACACAAGCAATACACACAAACACAATATGCTCAAACAGTACGCACAAACACAGTTATACACAAACAGCACACATAACCACATTACACACACACACACACACACACACAGACACACACACTCTGCAGTAGCTGTTCGCTAAATGGGGAGAACTATTGTTGTGCAGCTTTCAGCGGGCTCCCGAGGAGCCCCGTCGCTCATGACATTTCTAAATGCACAAACTGCATTCAAGGCCACGCCGGGGTCGATGGCACAACACGCTTTAGCTTTTCACTCAGATGTTTCTAAAGAATGCACAGACAATAACACCATGTGCATGTACATCTATTTAAACTTTCACAACAATCTGATGCCATGCAGATGTACCAAGACCAAATATGTTTTCAGAACCAGCAAACCTCATTGTCCCCAAATTTATACTGTGTACACATGGGCAGTTGGCAATAGATAGAAGAAAAAGTATGTAAAATAAAGTGCAGTACAGTCAGGTGTAACAGATTGAGAAACATTGAATGAGCTCATGGTAATAATTGCCTTTGTTTGTTTTCAGATAATGAATACAGTTTTTTGACATGCAGCGTCATTTTCCGTGAATTTAATTGGCCAAAACATCTGCCACATAAACAGTGTTACATTTTCTTACCAGTGCAGGAAGAAAAAATGTCTATTACTTATTTTTGTGATTTCTGTTTCATTCAGCTGCTGTTCAGCATTCATAAGGCTATACAGTATTAAGTGTAGCCTATAACAGCTTAACCACACTATGTAAAAACAAGAAAAAACTGTACATTTCCTATAAAAAGAGTTATCTGTCTGTATCCTCTTAGATTCAGACTGTTCAGATTGTTTTATGTGCTTGTTCAGTGTATCCTCTTAACCTTCGTAACACTTCCCACAGATTCAGTATTAAGTGGTCTCTGTTGTTCAGGCCACTGGGACATTGGTTTGTATTGTGCATCGATGACACGCCTTTGATTATTCATGATGTTTATCCTCCTCTTTTCCACTTCCTGTATCCATGGATCAGAGGGAAAATATCTGCTCAATTATGGGAAGGGAAGCAGCAAAGTAATAATCTCCTATGAATAATGAATGGACTTAATGGTCTGAAGTATCGCTGGATGTATACGGGAAGACTGGAAATGTCAAGTACACGTAGTTACCTGGAACACATTATGCTGTGGGAAAACTAGATGCGAAAACAAGCTTTTCTTAATACAGTGATAAAGTAACTACTGAAGTAAATACATACTCTTCATACTGAGAAAATATTTGTTGTACATGTGTTACCCTTTACCAACACACACACCACTTCATACTAAGTAAAGTGGATGAAGTGTCTCGTCCTGCCTAAGGACACAACAACACTTGGTTTGAGGAATTGATCCTTCGACTTTCAGGTTGGTGGACGAGTGCTCTAACCACTGAGCTGCTACTGAAACACTTTACTCTTGAGTAATTTCTTGAACTACTCGATTGTTCTTCTACTGGAGAAATATTACTTTTGAAATATCGGTATTTACTTGGGTGTCATTTTTGGCTAAAGGACACCAGGGATGCCACAGTAACTGAAATATTGTGATATCGTATCGTCAAAGTTCTCACAATAATATCGTGCACCATCACAATATATCAAATTACAAGTCTCTTTGCTTAAATTAAGAGTTATGGTGCAGCAATGGCTAAAAAAAAGACAGACCAAACTACATAGACCATGATCCTTTGCTCCATTTCAGTGTAGACTACAAGAAGAAATAACAGTTCTAAGCAATTTAAAATCTTAGTTCTTCGGATTAAGTCTTGTCAAGGCATTTTAAGAGGGAAAAGTAGCATATTAACAGTTTTGTTAGCCTCCACAAAATATCACAATAAATATTGTACTGTGAGATGTACATCGTGAAAATATTGTGTAAATATCGTAAGAGATTTGGAGATTGTTACATCCCTAATCGTGAGCCTCCCCACCATATCGTGAGCTTTCCCACAATATTGCAATAAATATCGTACCGTGAGGTTCATACTGTGATGTTATCGTATCTTGAGACTTGGATATCGTTACACCCGTACTATACCCGCCTCTGATGATCATAATATTTTGGCTGAACAATGCATATCTTCGAGTACGCTGTGCATGGTCCAACAGTTAATGCTCTGTGCAACTGTGAGCGACAGGGCCTCCGACCATCTCCTGACAACAAGCACCCTGACAGAACGCATCACGTCAACACATATCAAGTCATTTAACCCGTGTCAGGAGCCATCACGACATGCCTACAGTCTTTTAATGAGTTACATCCTACAACTGGTCTTCCTTCCTTTAGTTTAAATACAATACAATTCTAAAGACAGATCTAAGAACCTAAATGAAGGAATAGCAAGGAATGTAAAATTACTTCTTGTGAGATTTAAGCTGTGTTGGGATGTTGTTACCTCATCAAAAACATACCTGGAGATGTGTTTTGTTTCATTTACAGATGTTTGAGTAGTCCTTTATTATTATCTGTCTACATCTCCAAAGCTCAAAATGCACAGTTCCACCTTGACGTCATATAGTGGTAGTTTTCAAGTTCACACCTCCTTTTACATTTAGTTCAATAGAGATAGTAGGCAATTCCAGAGCTGAAATCATCCAAATGTTTCTATTGAAGGTGTATGGAGTTTCAAAACACATTGGAGCACTTCCTGTATTACCATATGACATCACAAGGTGGAACAGTGTTTTCTATTTGAGAAGAGAAGTCAACCTAAATATGCAGGGTTTGTGTGTTTAAACATGCGTGAATGAAACAAAACACAACTCCAGATAGGATTATGATGATGAAACTGTAATGGGGATGAGAACATTGTGTAATATGGGCTCTTTAATGAGTTAGATCCTACAACTAGCCCTGCTTCATTTAGTTCAAATATTGTACAATTCTAAAGACAGATCTAAGCACCTAAACGAGGGAATGGTTTAGGAACTTAAACCTGTCTCATTTTCAGTTTTGCTAACAAATATTAGCCCTATGTCCTGAAATAATCAAGACTGTGCACTGCAAAGATGTAATGGCAGCACGTCTTTCAAATCTTCTAACCCTACCGCACATAAGAGTGAACTTGATCTTGTTTGTAATCACCAAATGTTCCACAAACAAAGGCCCGGGGCTAATTGTTATGGAGAGGTTGTCTGGAGGAGCTGCTGAACTTTGTATGTGAGCGATCCTCCAGGAGACTCGCTGAATAATGCAAACAGCCAAACCTGAAAATAACCTCTCCTGTGCAGCAGCCTGTGCCCTGATGCCACGTCCTCTCTCTCCAGTGTCTGCTGCTCTTCGCCACAAATACACCCAAAACACAGCCAACTGAATCCAAACACTCCAACTTTTCCCGTCGAAGTAAAATACTGAGACCTCAAGTTGTTAAAACACTACTTTCTATGTTATAATGTGAACGTTTGGTGCAACCCATATGCAGTGTGATGCACATTAATAGACAACTCCTGTGTGGGGAAATCTGTTCTCACATTTGCAACTAGGGCAACAAACATTAACAGGGGACCCTTCTCTGGATTCTGGATTCTGGATTCAGCATGAGTTTTTTTTTTTCCTGATTTGTATGTCATTTGTAGGACATTTTATATAAATGGATAAAACGGACTGGCTTATTGCATTTTTGGTGCTTGTGTTTGAATTTATACAGTTCTGCATGCTAAGGTAAGATAAATGCAGCACAATGATCAGATAAAAGATACAAGCTGAAGAGATGTTTTCTTTGAAGCAGTGATGAACATGAGAGAACAGATCGGATAAGTTTGTGAATAATTCTAGGGTTAGTCTCACACACTCATAAATACGTTCTCAACAAATTCAGATTTGAAAATATTTCTTTGTTTTGGAAAAGGCTTAAGAGCACCAATGCCAGCAAGTGTTAAACTGAGCATAATTTTAGGGTGGATGAGGTACCACTGAAAACCACCTCAAACACCTGGTGAATAAGATCTTGTGCCACATGAACTCTTGAGATAAAATTGCAAAGAGTTTGGGGACACATTTTGAAAAATTGGCTCTGACAAAAAAGGGGTTAACTCTGGTGATTTAGATCTCTTGAGGAGCTGTTGTTCCAAAAATGAGCAGCTAAGTATAATAAATCAAAATATTGTGAGGCAATTGTGAACTGAACTGCACAATTTATTAAATGTCAAACTCAACAAAGTATTGTCTCATTCTGGTAAAACCCATCTTGCATTTTGTCTTCTTTTGTGGGAACCCGTGCTTCCATACTTCCAAAAAAATAAACAATCTATTACTGTAGTTCCCATTGCCAGCGCTTACAGCCATGTGATTAGCTACTGTAGTGATTTTCCTTAGCTGACTGGTTCCTGCTGTACAGTAGCGATTGGGGGCTCTGCATGGTGATTGGCCTTTGAAGGATATATCTCATGCATGGGCACCCCACGCACCCTGATTGATCGGAGATGTTGACGGACAGCGGTGTTTGATTGGGCTGCTGTTATCTGTAATGTAGCTGAAGCTCTTAATGGCCTGACAAGATTAGAATGCATTAGCGTCAGAAAGCTAGGCGCCCCGGGGCTCCTGCGTGTGCCGGGTGAGTGTTAATAACTAAAGATGGAGCCTCACCAGTGCAAGACATGTGCTGACGGTCCACCTATAGTCTCCTCTGAATCCCAATCAGAAACATGGGGGCGCACATCTGATGTAACTGGATTGAGATGTTGCGGGAACGTATAAAAATTGACAAAATTAACATAGCCAGATTAGCCGCACATCTGAAAGACACCCCATAGTGGATTATCATTGATCATATTTATCATATTTACAAAGAAAATCAGATGGTGCACTGTTGAATTGAAAACTGTCTGTTACAAATTTAAGTTACCCGGTGTTGCAACAGCTCAGTCGGTAGAGTATCATCCGTAGGTCTGTGGTTCAATCTCTACTCCACTAGTGCATACCGATGTTGTGTCCTTGAGCAAAAAATCAAGGGCGGCGCCAGATATTTTTGGTTGGAGGAGCTGTGGGGGTGCACGATTAACATGTTCATTTAGAGCCTTTTATCATTGGAGCGTATCCCTCACCCCCTACCATGTTTGCTTTGCTGTTTTACATTTAAATGCAGTTAGCACATTTACTGATTTATTACATTATTTTTTATTGTCGTCTCATTTTGAACACTGTGTGATTCAGAGTCCTGCACGAATCCATTTTTGGAGACTCGCACCTGCCCGGACCTGTTAACATTCCACCCGTTAAACGCCCGTGCCCATGATAAATCACACACAGATTACAAGCTTTCTAACTAAAGCATCCATCAGAATATGAAGTGAAACATTACGACTTCAGGAATTACAATAATGAAATGAAGTGAAAAGGTTACGCTTTCTTCATTACGAATACTAATTCACAGACGTGACTCGACTGTCATCACTTCACAGGCATTATTTATTGAGCAGAAAAAACACTGATCAAGATATCAGACTTCTGTGCCACACACGCCATGGACTGAACCAAAACTAACCCAGGACTAACCCAGGACTAACTCAGGACTGATTCCAGGACTAAACCAGGACTGAACTATGACTAAACCAGGACTAAACCAGTACTAAACCAGAGCTGAACCAGGACACACTGTTGGGACAGGTCCGGAGGTGCACCCGCATAGTCCGTCGAGTGGCCCACGGAGGTAAGTGCAGCCGTCGCCCGATCTTGCTTTGCGGACACCCTGCTCTGGGGTTCTCTCTCTCTCTTAAGTTCAAGATTAGTCCTGGTGTAGTTCTGGTGTAGTCCTGGTTTAGTCCTGATTTAGTCCTGACCCACCCGTGTGTAATTACTACCCACCCGCATTCCTGCCCATAAAATTCCAGAACGTTAAAACCCGCCTGTTTCAGCAACTATTTGCTGATACCCACAGGTACAGTGCAGGACTCTGGTGCAGGACTCTGGTTGAACATATTTAGTTGAGACTGAATGACTACGAGAGTACATTGGCCATTGTAGCACTGGGAAAAAAAAACAATATCTAGCTAAATTTAAATGACTTAAATTAAGAATATTTTACTTTATTTGAGTCAATTCAACTTGACAAGTAAAATGATCAATGGAATAAGTGTGTTTCTCTTCTATTTGTATTTTCATATTTTAAGTACAAAAAGTCTTGTTCCACTGGTAAATAATTTTACTTGTAACTTACTTAAATCATGATAAAACTTTCTTAATTCAGGTCATCTTAACTTGGCTGGATTTTGTTTTTTGCAGTGAGGGAAGGATAATTCCCCCTCAAGCCCCCCTGGTGCTGCTCCTGCAAAAAATTAAGCCACATTGCGTAGTGTCTGTAGATACTTTGAGAATGGTTCGGCATGTAAAGTGTTTTGAGCACCCAATTTTAATCTGAACCAACCTGATATAAAGCTATATCCTCTCTATACTAACACTTCTACTGTGACTGCTACTAATATTACCCCTACGACTTTATTTGTTGATATCTTGTGGCCGCTTTACTTTGACAGATATGTAGCGTTGTATTGACTATAGGCCGGTGTCAAAGCAGCAAAGTGCGGTCCTTGTGGATTGTGAAGATTGTAAATGGGGAATTGTATCATTAATGCTCAGGTCTGTAATAAGCTCCCAGGGGTAAATTAATATCCACTTAATACGCTGGCGAGGGTTGCTCATCTGATAGTGTTAGCGCAGTGGGCGTAACCGCGAATAGGCTAGCAGGAAATCCCAGATCATGTAACATCTCCACTAGCTTTTTACAGCTCCAAATGGAACTTTGCTGCTTTAAGGGAATCCTAACAGTGCAGCCAGTGAGACACATTGCATTGTCTTGTATGTGCAAATATCTTGGCCTAGTTAAGTCCTAATTTGGTCATCTCATTTGGATATCTTTGGCTTGTTGCATAAGAAGGCTACAGTTGCCATAGAGATAGATCTTCTAAGACTGACCCGAATTAATTTTCAATGCGCTGTGTATCTGTTTGAATAAAAATAGTCACACATGAAACAAATACAACAGCTGATGTAAGAGCTGATTACAGAGGCAGGCATGCTTTAGTTCTCAATGTTTACAGAAAATATCATACTTGTACCAATCCTAAACTTTCTTACTAGATTGTTAGACCCCAAACTACTGTATTTGGGTTACTTTCACAACTTTCTCTATTGTTTGTGGTAGTTCCAAAACCAGAATTAGTTATTGCAGAAAGAGTATCGCAAGTAAAACAAAATTATAACACAAATCAGAGTAAACTACTACTGATTCCCAACCATCTCAAATCAGATGATCACTGTTCCTGAATAAGGTAGG